GGTTGGACTAGAAGACCTCCAAGGTCCCTTCCAGCTCTAATATTCTATAAATATTCTGTAAATATTTAGGGTCTCCTGCTTGAGGGGGGAGTTTTAACAGATAATCAGAGTTGGAAGGGTCCTTGTAGGTCATCTAGTTCCACCCCGAGACCCTACACCATTTCTGACAAATGGCAGTCCAATCTCTTCTTGAAAGTCTCCAGGGATGACGCTCCCACAACTTCCAGGTTGGACTAGAAGACCTCCAAGGTCCCTTCCAGCTCTATTCTCATTGATCGCCCCCAAACGTGCAAGAGACATTTCGAGCATTCAGATCTTGGAGTCGAGCCCTCGCTGACCGCATGGATTCATCCAGACTTTGCTTTTGGCAGCAGCAAAGAAGTGGGCTGACCCTGCCTTTCCAGGAGTCTTTTTTTAAAATAAATCCCAGTCTTGGTCTCCCAGTCCAGCCAAGGCTGGCCAGTGTGCCACGTGCGTGGGAGCCCAATTCGTCTTGCTTGCTCCTTGACCAAGCTCTTTCTCTGTAACCCTTGGAAAAAAACGGCGGTTGATTTATGGTTGACTGAAAACCCCTTACAGTCTGTTTGCATAAAACGGAAAAAAATGCATTTATGGTTTGGGGTTTTGATGATTGCTGGGGGGAAAAGACCCCTGGATAATATAAAGAGTGAACTTTCGTTGGTAATCATAGCATAAGAGATCATGTCGTAATTGTCTGCAATTTGCTGCAAAGGAAATTGGAAACTTCTGCTTCTTCCTTTAATACACTTTCTTCTTTTTTACTTACTGCTTTCACTCTTTACTACTTTGTGTTACGGTAGCCAACTTTTGTAAAGCTATATATGTGGTTTTTATATTTATTACTGATTCTGAGAGTGGGGAGGGGGTGCTGCTGTTGGCCGGTGGCTCCGTAAAGAGCGCAGCAGATAAGGAGAGAGATCCAGTTACAAGCAGCCTGAAATTATTAAGTCGCCTTTGGTGACCCTGGACTTAGGCTGTTTATTCTGTGTCTGGTGAAGACAATGCGTTTTTTGTAGCACGTCTCTCCCCAGAAAGGAAACGAAGGAGCGGATGGCAAGCTAAGAGATAGCGCTTCAGATCTGAACGAGAGACCAAGAGGAGAGGGGAAGTCTAAAAACATCCTGGAACGTAAGGAACAATGGCCTGGACTTGTCCATGAAGTCTCCAGGATCTGAATTTATTTTTATTTATTTATGTATTTGATTTGTCAATCGCTTACAACAAGGGTCTTCAAACTTGGCAAGTTTAAGACTTGTAGACTTCAACTCTCAGAATTCCTGAGCTCACATGATTGGAGGAGGAATTCTGGGAGTTGAAGTCCCCAAGTCTTAAAGCTGTCAAGTTTGAAGACCCTTGGCTTACAAGATAATAGACATAAGAATAAACATGAGTATGAATACAGGAAATAGGTACGATTAAATGGGGACAATAGGACAGGGATGGTAAGCACGATGGTGCACTTATGTGCGTCCCTTACAGACCTCTTAGGAATGGGGTGAAGTCAATAATGGATAATTTAAGGGTAAAGGAGTGGAGGGTTTGAGGATGTAACAACAGAGTCAAGTAGTGAGTTCCAGACATTGACAACTCTGTTGCTGAAATTGGACAACAGACTAACCTAAAGCCAAAAGGATTGCCTTGCCCTGCCCCCTCCCATTGCTAAAATGTCCCTGAGGGCCTCCCCCCTCTTGCTTGCTTGTGCCAGCCACATCTCTAAACAGAGACAAAGGGGCTTGGTGAGGACCCCACCCTGGAACAATGTGATAAAGAGGGGCGGTATTATTGAGCACCCCACAGAGAGCAGATTTTGTGTTTTGGAAGGAAGGAAGGAAGCCAGTTCAGAGAGGAAAATATCTCCAGTCTGGAAAATGTGGCAAATCCAGACATTTGCTTCTCGATTCATCTGAATTGTGTTTGGGTTTTCTGTGGCGTCAAAGTTAACTTGTATGCAGCGCTTAAATGCTTCCATAAGCATTTTCCACTTGTGACTGTATGACTGTGTTGCTTGTATCCTTACGATTTATATGGACTGTTTCCTAGTATGATTTGATTGCTTATTGTACCCTATGACTATCATTAAGTGTTGGACCTGATGATTCTTGACAAAATGTATCTTTTCTTTTTATGTACATTGAGAGCATATGCACCAAGACAAATTCCTTGTGTGTCTAATCACACTTGGCCAATAAAGAATTCATTCATTCATTCATAATCTCTATTCCTGGTGCTGAAGCATCAGTGTAGCCAGTATGTGTACTTATGCATGAAGAAGACGACAGTTCATCTGTGGACACAGTGCTGATTCTGCAGCCCCAGTCTGGCACTATGGGAGCACTGGAAGTGCATGGTTGTAGTAACTGTGGGTGTTATTATTTGATGTCACTCACGGTTTTCTGTCTTCAAAACTGATGGAGGCTTCCAGCAGGGGGCTGGACTAGAAGATCTCCAAGGTCCCTTCCACCTCATTCATTCTAATTCTAAGCCTCCAGGGTTTGCCAAGAGGTGCTGTCACCAGGACCAGCTTTCTAGTTCCCCTGACTGGATGTCACAATGACATAGGGCAAGGGTCTTCAAACTTGGCAAGTTTAAGACTTGTGGACTTCAGCTCCCAGAATTCCTGAGCTGACATGACTGGAGGAGGAATTCTGGGAGTTGGAAGTCCACACATCTTAAAGCGGTCAAGTTTGAAGACCCCAGACGTAGGGTTTCTTGTGTGGTTGACTTTGAGGTCTCTTCCCAAATCCCAGGATACTACGGAGTTGTGTTTCTCAACACCGGCAGTTTGAAGATGTGTGGGAATTCTGGGAGTTGAAGTCCACACCTCTTCAAGTGCTGAGGTTGGGAAACGCTCCTAGAGAGCAACTGGTGAGGCATACGGCAGTCATCCATTCTGATGATGTGTCTGACCCATCTCATCTGAGCTTTGATCATCAGGAACTCCATGCCAGAGGACTCCACGCGATCCAAGACTGGAGACAAGAATGAAGAGCATCTGTGAGAAATTTCTCCAGTGGTTTGATGCGCCTTCAGAACAAGAGTCCAACACTCACATTCAACAGGAAGGAATAACCACGGCTTTGTGGAGATGTAGATGCATTGATTGAGCACTGTAGGATGAAGCTGCCCTGGTGCCCGGCTGGTCTTTGTGATCCTGGAGTCAATTGCTTTGTTGTCCGCCCATCGCTCAAGGGGATGCTTGCCAAATATTTGAAGTTGTTTACCTTTGTCAGCTGGGTGTCAAGCACGGTGGTTTTTGATTTTAGGTTTTATGAGCTTAGTGTTTGGCACAAGCTACAAAAATACATCAGTATTGTTCAGGTTGACAGGCAAGCCAATTTGTTCATCATCCACTGTAGATCGTTGTCTAGAGTTTGAAATATCCATATGGACAAAATGTTTGAAATATCTTTTTGTTTAACAGTTTGAAAAGGCCAGTGTAGAGAAAAGAAGGACCAGGGGGTGGGTGACATGGTAGCAGCATTCCAATATTTGAGGGGCTTCCACAAAGAAGAGGGAACCAACTTATTCTCCAAAGCACCAGAAGGCAGGACAAGAATCAATGGATGGAAACTAATCAAGGCGAGAAGCAATTTGGAATTAAGGAGGAACTTCCCAACAGTGAGGACAATTAACCAGTGGAACAGCTGGCCTCAAGAAGTTGTGGGTGCTTCCAACACTGGAGGTCTTTAAGAGGGGATTGGACAGCCACTTGTCTGAAATGGTATAGGATCTCCTGCCTGAGCAGGGGGTTGGACTAGAAGACCTCCAAGGTCCCTTCCAACTCTTATTCTGATTGATTGAAATAGCCATCCAGACAAAACTTCTGGGCAATTAAGCCAGCCTGGCTGGCTTTAAGAGGTGGGAATGTAATCGGCCTGACCATTTTCCTTTGGCATCTCCTTGTCCCAAGAAAAGATTAAGCTGATGAATGATTTCTCTTCATCGGTTTTCTACAGCCTCCCTTTAGGCGTCAGGACAGTTAACTGAATATTTCTCCCCCCTTTGCTTTTGTCTCCTGTTGGCTTTTGTGCTCTGTTTATTTGTCTTAAGTATTTTAAAGAAGCTTTGAAGTCAGAAGTGAGAGACAGAGAAAACACATTTGAAGGCGAGTTGGATGCTCAGAAGAAGAGAGGGTCAAAGAAAACTTGTTTGGTCAAATGTTCCATTAATCAAAGGCCAACTTAAAGGATTCCATCCTGCTTGGCGAGAAGCAGATAGGAGCTAAGTGGTATCCCTTTTTGTAAAAAAGAGTTTGGCCAATATATCAGAATTCAAATTTTTCTGGGACTGCCATATTTGGCCACCCAAACTCAAATGCAGGTCCTAGATGACGGCAGAATACCTAATGTGGGGCTGCCCCAGATGGTCATCCAAAACCTACCGCAACTGCACATCAGTGCAACTGAGATGTTAGAGTTTATGAGATCAGAATGCAAAATTCCACTTTTTAAAGGTCAGCGGAAGAAGCTTTTTGGATGAGAAGCGAAATGTCTTCAAAGAAAAATCAGAAAAGTCCAGTTGCCTCTTGAAAAAAGCACCTTTGG